GGATGGGATCCTCGCTGCCCAGCCCCGGGATCGGTCCTGGCTTGCGGAGTAGAGCAGCTTTCATGCAGTCACAGCTCGGGCGCTTCGCTGTTGCAGTTCTCGGAACGGGGATTTGGGAAAAACCGGGAGTTTCTGGTCCCGGTTATCTGGAGAACAGTAATTGGAGAGGCCTGGGGTGCGGCTCCTCTGGTGTCGGTGGCATTGGGATGGAGCTGCTGTTTCTGGATAAAAGAGGGGAAAAAAACCTCAAAATGTAAATGCGAGCGAGAATTTAAGGTAGAACAAAAGCAACTTTTGGTGTATCATTGCATAGGAGACAGAGTGATATAGCCCAGAAGAACTCACTCCTTGCTTTATTTATAGAACTCACTCCTTTTATTTATAATATTCCACATTATAGTGGGAAATTGCTTAGTGCATCAGAGGTCAGATAAAAGCAGCACTAAAGCAGTTGATAAAGTCTGTAAAATTCCTTGTGAAGACAAGAATGCTGACAGTAAAATTTCACAAAAATATTGCTTTGCTGTATCCCTGAGATACTTGGATGCCAAATAAGCTGCTCACTAAACTTTTGGTTTAGTGTCTGAGAGTTTAATCTTAGGAAGAACTTGGGTGTAGCTGGAAAATGTAATGTGATATCTAGTTGTGGTTACCCCTAACATTGTGTTTTCACCCTTCCCTAGAAGAGTGTTAAAAGGACAGTGACAAAGTAAGCAGCTACTTAAAGGGAAGAGAATATAAAATACCCATTGGCATTTTTTATTAATCATTATTAATGTCAATCAGTATAAAATACTTTGAAAATAATTTTTCTTCTTCAATTTATGAATTGAAATGGAAATTTTTTTTAGGCAACTATGTATCCATCTGTATCTTTCTGTCTGTGAACATCCTTTGGGGAGAAGGAGAAAGGGAAGATAATTGCTATGGGTCCCAAAAAGTTCAATCTTTAACTGGACAGCACCTAATTATCTATCTAAGTAAAGGTCTTAGATTATCCCTGTGTATTTTCATCAAGACACAGTCAGGCTGGGGGAAGATCAGTTACTGATTTGCATCATTAATAAAAAGCATCAATGCAATATTAATTCCCCCTTCACCCTCAAAAAGCCCAAATGAAATACCATGCAAAGGAAAAGTTCCAGATTTTATTAGAGCTGAGTTGCTGAGTTACTGATGGAGAATAAAATATAAGTGAAGTGCAGTCACAGGAGGAAAGGAATTACTTCTGTATTACCATTTTCTCCTGTTGCCTTGCACCCAAATGGTTGCTGCATATTGTCTTCAGTATATTTTTTAATTAAGGCAAAATATTAGTTTTGGTGTAGGGTTAAATATGTATATGGCGTGCATTTGGCATTGTACGCATCTTAATTTCTCTTGTCCAATCTGTAATTTTTAAGTTAGAGGTAATTTCTTGATATAAGAACATTCTATGTTCTGTTGATTTTCTTCATTGATCTCTTAAAAATATAACTTATAGATGTTGCCACCTGATCCCAGACAGCGTGTGGGCTGCAGCAGCAAAACACAAAAGAAGAGCATTAGTTTTTGGTGCAGGTATTCTGTGCCAGCTGTGCACCTCATAACATTGCATGCAACTGTTTCAAATGCCATAAAGGCTGATCCAGGCTGAAGGCAATGATCCTAGATGTGGAGTCAAGTTAACAATCTGCCTATTAGCCTCTTCTATAAGCCAGCCCTACATTTATTGCCTTTAAAGACCACCACCTAACTCTACTTGTAGTGGAGACTTCTTTGCTTCTCCTACAGCAGCACCATCTGAATAAGATTTGGCTCACACAAATGGCTCTCTGCACTTGAGAAAACAACCCATGACCTGTATGATTGTGGTGTTTGTAGCTTTTTATTTTCTGCTTGAAGTGAGTTTGCTCAGTGTCTGTTCCTGGCTCTTGTACTGGAGATCTGACACTGAAGTGTGCTGGGAAACCTGCAGGCTCAGCTGAACCCTGAATGGGCTTGCCACACACTTCCAGCAGAAAATTTGATGTCTGCACTCAAGCTGGTGGAGTTCATTGACTTTGGTGGATCAGAAACAGTGCAATGGCCTGACACTCTTGTCCAGGCTCATCATATTGTGGTGACTCATTAGAAGCGGGAACCCAGTCAGAAATCCAAATATTTTCATTACATCATTAAATCTGAAGAGACTGTATAAGGGAATAAAAGGAACTGGTGCATTTTTGTTTTGCTCTTTTCATTTCTGAAAAGGTCTCAAGATAGTGATCTTTAAAGATGTGTCAGATCAAAAAATAATTCCAAATAGCAATAATGTGGCTTCTTTCTTTCTCTCCTCTTTCTCACTGATTCAATCAGAAACCTCTCCTTTCATTCTTTCTTTTTTGCAAAATTTTAAGACATATGGGGGACAGTTTCTGCTCATAAGCCTGGTATTTTTTCTTTACTTCACATTTTCTCCATTCTTTACAGTTTCAGTATTATCTCTATTTATGACCTGGCTACATGCAGCTAAGAGTATGATCTGTGATAGCTGCTGATTTCCACAGAGTCACACAGGAGTGTGTGTGATCACTAGTGAGGTACAAAACCACACGGTCTGACAGTGTGGGGTGTCTGTGTTTTAGTGTGTGATTTGGGTGATTGTGCCAAGGGTTTGACACACGAATTAGGGGACATGGCAGATGGAGCAGCTTGGCTGTGATCAGAGAAGGACTGTCTCTATAGCCAACAGATTCTGGTCAGAAAAACATTTTACCTCCTTAGGTTTGTCTCCTTGCCCTATGAAAACAGTATTTTGCAGTTATGTAACAAGAGAGTGATTTTTCAGTTCTGATCTACTGAATCCTGATTCATCTTTTCCTACCTGTGTCCTGCGGGATTTGGATTATTCTCTTTGCCAGTGTTCACTGAACTTGCTAACAAGTGTTTTGTTCAAGATACTATTTCTTCTGACATCTTATTGCTCCCTTTCCTCCCAGTAGCAATGCTAGTTATAAACTATACATTAAAAATACTTTCTGCATCCTAGGGAATGAATAAAAATGTCCATAAAATCATTAAACTAAAAAAAAGGTATCTTGGTATTTCAATCTCTCACAAATTCTGTCTGTGACTAACTTTATTCTTATTATTGCGTAATAATTGAATTAATATTTTTGCCTTTGTGGTTGATTAAAGCACAGCATTACCCAAGACACCCTGAAATGCAAAAACTTACACTTTTTGCACTCCTACCCATTCAAACAATTTTTTTTGTTGGTTTGCATCTAGTTAAATAAATCAGCTTACATGATGATTGAAGATAACAAAGAGAATGAAGACCATGCATCTGAAAGAGGAAGAGCAGCCATCATTTTTTCCTTGAAGAATGAAGTTGGAGGACTTGTAAAAGCATTAAAACTCTTTCAGGTATGTATGTTATCATCTTTTAATCATCACAGCAGCTCTGCATTTTTAAATTGCTAGGGTAGTTGGAACACACTAGAATTGATTACATCTATTTATTAAGGATGGCACCCAAAATTATCCACAAAGGCAAATGTATGCCTCAGAAATTAGTTGATGGCTGGCTAAAACTCTTATCTGCACTGACTATACACTGAGAGAGGTTTGTCTTTTCCCCTTATGATAAGAAGATCAGCACCCAATGGTTTTGCTGGGAATAAGAACTGGTCTGAAGCCCCTGCTGATGGCAGGTAGGCATTTGGGGTATTGATCTGTACTGTGGGCAGTGCAGTGCCCTTGCCACACTGCCCAGCCAGACTGAAGGTGGCAGAGGAGCTGCAATTGCACAGCTGCTGGGCAGGTGCTGTGTGAGGAATATGTGCAGTGCCACTGTGCTCTGTTGTGTGGCTCTGCATGCTTTAGCCTGGCGTTTTCTCAACGTTCCTAATATAAAACACATCATTAAATAATTCTTCAGATTAAAGAAAAGTGAAACTAATGTCCTGAAAACTGATGCTTTTAAATCCCTTGTTTGCTTGTGAGATAATTATATGGTAACTTGATTGGCATTTTGGTGAATTTTGCTAATCAGCTTCCTATGGGAAGGATGAAAGAAAAAGGTCTATGAACTGAAACCTCCTTACTGTGCCTTTATGTGCTTCCCGAATGTAAATAAAACTGAAAGAACACAGGTTTGCTTTTATTTTCTTCTGAGTAGAAAATCAAACCTTTCCCCCCCTCCAATAAACAAATTGCTATCAAGAGATACAATTAACTAAAATAGCTTCACAGAGGTGGTGAATAGTTCATGGCAGTAGAATATTGATTTGAAAAACTATTTTAACTTTTAGTCAATTGTTTTTAGCCTATCTCTCTGAGAACATTGCTTCTTATTAAACAGGAGAAGCATGTAAATCTGGTACACATTGAATCACGGAAGTCCAAGAGACGAAATTCTGAGTTTGAGATCTTCGTGGACTGTGACAGTAACAGGGAACAACTGAATGAGATATTCCAGCTCCTGAAATCCCATGTCAACATCGTCTCCGTGAGCCCAACAGAACATTTCAATGTCCAGGAAGATGGTAGGTACAAAAGGCAGTTCTGATAGAAATGTACTTCCAAATGTGTTGGTTCTAAACCTTTTTATGGCCCCACCTGCACTTGTGCCGTGTCTTCAGGCTCCTGCTACGAGGTACCTGTATCTGTGTTATGTGTGAGTGTAGTCTGGCCTGAACCAGGGAGTTCAGGCTTTGTCAGGCTGTTACAAAATGTGTGTCTGCTGTCTGTGCTCCTGTCCCTTCCCTGCACAGCCCAGCTGGCACCAGTGGGAGCCTTGCATCCGTGCAGGTCAAAGTCTGAGTGCAGGGCTCGAGTACACTACGATGGCAGAGGTGTGACACTGACAGTTCAGACACTGGGCAGAGTGGAGGATGGATTCTGCAGCTTCCTCATTTAGTTCTTGATTTTGTTGTCTTTTTTATCCACTTTTAATCGTAACTGGCTACTTAAATTAGTATGACAGAGGTGCCTTTTATTTTTAGATACTGCATGTTGTGTTTACCAGAGATGCCCAAAATTCAGGTCAGCAGGAAGCTGGTCCCATGTGTTTCTCAATCATTGTGCTTGGGAAGGAGAGATCTGGAGTTCTTGGATAAAATGGCTTACTGTAGCCCTAAGTAAGGGGAAATTCAATCTAAACAATCTCCTGATCTTTTTAAGTAAACTGAAGAGCATTGAGGTAGAAAAATAGTGTATTAACTGCTCTGCCAAGGGCTTGGCAAAAAACTCTCTTAGACTAAAAATACCCCAAAGGAGTTGGTAGCAAAGCTGTAGTGATGCTCCTCTCTCAGGCAGCAGGGTCTCCTGCTCCTCCTGCCCCCCATACCTCTCAAGGCAAAGCTGGATGCTTCCCACATACATAACCACGGAGAAACATCCATTTCCCATGGCCAGTAAACCATGATGAGAGGACTCTAACGTGCTCCCGCTCTGCCCAGGGACCACAGACAAATCACTCTGTTCTCCTTTGCACCCTTTGTGCCCTATGAGATTCCCAGCAGTTGTACACAAGGAGACCTTGTCTCTGTGGGATCCTCTAGATGCTACTCTAAATACAGCAGAGAAAGCCATGCTAACTTTCCTTCCCAGAGGCTCTGGGGCTGGCTGTGCTCTGCAGGCAGTCTGTGGCAGTGACCAAGGAGGAAGTGTGAGCTGGAGGCTGGTGCCAGATAGGCAGAGGACTCCCTTGTCTTATTGATGCCCCTTTAATTTATGGAGTGAGCTGTAACCACCAGAGCCATAGCTGAAAGCAGCGTTTCCTCCCTGGGTGTGCTGGGTGTTATTAATAATCCTGTGGATTCCATGCCTTCCCTAGGCATGGAGAACGTTCCCTGGTTTCCGAAGAAGATCTCAGATTTGGATAAGTGTGCAAACCGGGTGCTGATGTACGGGTCTGACTTGGATGCCGACCATCCCGTGAGTACTTTTCCCTCCCTACACTCAGTAGTTGGAAATGTACTTTGTGGAGCTGACCTAAAAAAATTGCAGCTTTTCCTCCTCCCTTTCCTCTCCCTCAATGGCGTCTCTGGGGGTCTGAGCACCTTCTCTTGGTCTCTTTCTTTGTTCAGGGAAGACTGACTGAATTCAGTTCCTGTGCTTCTCTGCAGGGCTTACTTGTGGAAGAACTCCAGATCTGGGCCCTGAGTGGTCACATACAAATTAAAGAAGCTGAAAAAAAGTTATTTTCAGGCAGGCTTTCTTCGTCCTTTTTCTCTCTTCCTTACTGAGAAACCAAACTGGTATTTGGGCAGTGAAAATGGGCAATTTGTTCTGTATTTTGAATAATCATGCAAGTAACAAACTTGGTATAAATACTGATATGACTAAAATGAATCCTTCTCTACGAAATATATAGTTGCATAAATCAGCTGATTCCTACTTTGGAGCATTTGCTCAGTTCACATGTATTAAATATTTCAGACTACAGCTATGAGTTTCCTGCCCACTCCTTTCATTCTTTCACATCATACTTTTCTATTCTCCAGCTGAAGAAATGTCAAGTGTCCTGTTTTAAACTGATTTATTTATTATGGCTTGGAAACTCATTGAACTGTGCTTTCCTTTGTGCCCACCAGGGTTTCAAGGACAACGTTTATCGCAAGAGGCGAAAGTATTTTGCAGACCTGGCTATGAACTACAAACAGTAAGCTTGAATTCTTCCAGAAGAAACCTTCTGGGTGCTTTGAAATAACAGCAGAATGGGCTGTGAGGAGCTCACCTTCCTGGGCTCAGATCAGGCTGAGACATGCAGGTTCAGCTCAGGGATCAGAGCCAAGGAGGTGAAGGGAAGGAATATGTGGGGCAAGATGAGAAGGTAGATCAATGCAGCTCTGGTCAGTCAGAGGCTGTGTGGCTTGGCCAGCTGCTCTGCAAAGGAGAGGAAGGGGAGGCAAATCCCAATGTACATCCCAGTGACCACTGAGAGTATACTTTCTGAGCAAATTTTAAAACTTGAATTTTCTTTCCTGGTTCAAACTAGCATGTGTGATGTGTAGATAAGAAGTTTTCTGTGAAAATAAATTCTAAGAGCTTCTGTCTTTAGAGATGCTTCTTGGCAGGGGGTGGAGCTCTTAAAGCAGTAAGAGATTCATAATCCAGTGCTGTAAATTCTTTCTAAATGTGATTTTCATGCAGCCTGATTGAATTTAGGTGTCAAGTTTCTCAACTGAAAATGACCTAGAAAGGTCTGTATTTAGAGTTCTATTGCACTGTGTGTTTAATGCAACTGGTTGCTACAATCCCAAGTTGATTACTGTCAATGTGTTGTTGACAGAGATTCCCTTGGGAAAGCATTTTCCATGCCAGTTCCCTGGCTGGCAGTGGAAATGCAGTGTAACACTGGCCTTGCCATAATCCACTTTATCCAAGGTCCTGAGGACTAAGTAGGAAAGAGAGACTAAAATTAATATGCTCAGACAGGCACTTGTCTCCTCTGCACAGAAGCATGATTTTTACCTGATGTGTATATTTAGCTGCTGTCACACAATGTGTTGTTAATTTAGGGAGTTCTCTTTTCCAAAAACAAATTAAAAGGGTAATGGAAAATAATTGCAGACTTAGAAATCCAACATGGAAAAGGATGTGTTATCAGCTCCTGAAGCTGTGAAGAGATTGTGTAGGTATTTTAAACCTCCCTCTTGGCATTAAACAATTAAGAAACTGTTTACAGAACCAATGCTTTAAGTGAGGTCTATGCAAAGATTCCTGACGACTTGTTAAAGAGAAAAAAAGGCAAATCCTTAGACTAAAAGCATTCCAGGACATAGACCAGATCTCACTGTGTATTTGACAGAGTCTAATGCCAGGTGTCACAGTCATACAGGTGTTTAATACTAATAGTAGGTAAATGACTCACCTCTTATTAGCCATTTTCTAGGGAATGTCCTTTCTTTCTTCCTCTTCTCCTTGCAGTGGTGACCCAATCCCCAAGATTGAATTCACTGAGGAGGAGATCAAGACTTGGGGGATTGTGTACCGAGAGCTTAACAATCTTTACCCAAATTATGCCTGCAGAGAGTACCTTAAAAACCTGCCCTTGCTCACCAAACACTGTGGGTACAGGGAAGACAATATCCCCCAGCTGGAAGATGTGTCCCGCTTCCTGAAAGGTAATGCGCTTGTTTTCTAAAATGTTCTGATTTTCAAAATAAACTGAGGTCCACTGCAAATCCCACTATTTTGTAGGCACAAAGAAACATTCGTGGTGATTTGTGTTCATTCTGGTCCTTTAAGAGGCCTTTTGGCCATTTGTGTTTTAATGTATCATATCTTCAGTGCATGCAGTGATATGTGAGGGGCAGGGTCTGAAAAGATTTTTAGGACTGGCTAAGGAGATCCTGGCTGTATTGTTGACTCTAGGCATGGAATCCTAGGAAATCCACTGGCACAGAGGTAGGGCCATTTTAAAAAACGTTGCTCACTCTTAAGCCTATGCCTAATTTTTCTAATCATGCCTCATTTTCCTACATGCTTTTGAGCCAAGGTAGTGCTGTGGCTGTCACCTCAGCTCCAGCAGGAAAGCTGACAACGTTGTGCACCCTGTGCTAAACTAATATACAGTTTGTCTGGTCCCTTTCAGAGCGCACAGGCTTCACCATTCGCCCCGTGGCTGGATATCTGTCACCCAGAGACTTCTTGGCAGGATTAGCATTCCGAGTTTTTCACTGCACTCAATATGTCAGGCACAGCTCGGACCCTCTCTATACACCAGAGCCGTGAGTTGTTCAATCCTGGGGTAGAATTTGTGAGAAAGTTTTGAATCTTGCTTGCCCAGAGCCAAGTTACTTAAAAGTTGTTCAAGAACACCAGTATAAAACTTATTTTTAAGGTGCTGAAGGCTCAGCCTTCATCCTGAATGTAATGAATTTACAGCATGCTGAAGTGCCACCTTCGTAAGTGCAGGATTTTCAAAAGTACAGCTTGCTATTGGAGATCTTTTACTGATATCACTGTGTGCAGTTAGTTTATTATCCAGTTGCCTTGCAAATGGGTAGCTCAGACCTTAATTTTAGGCATCTTCATTTGAAAATCTGATTCTGTGCACTTTATATAGTGTTGGTATGATCTGCTCTGTTGCTTTCAGAGAAATGGGTGACACTTTTCTGTCTTTTGGGTAATGAAGTTTAATGCAAGACATTTTGTCTGTTCAGTGGTGTTGCTTTTTCACTTTGCCACAAAGACAAATCAGATTTCTTGTTGCTTTGATTCTTAAGATTTTTTAAAGCTTTATGAGTTTACATTCTGTTAGAAAACTTTCCCACACAATTTCCATAAACAACATATTGTTTTACATTCCTTCATGGGGATAGAGAAACTTAATGTACTAGTAGTTTGTCCAATGTCTTTAGAGAGGTGGCCCATTCACTCTCTAGTCCACTGTCACCTTTGGAAAAGTATAAAAGTTGGAGTCAGAAAATGAACTTTCTTCTTTACCTTGCAAATACAAGTAGCTTGCATCATACTTTCACATATCATATAACAACAATTTCTTGCTTTGTTTCTTTTTCCAGTGATACCTGCCATGAGCTCCTAGGCCATGTCCCTCTTTTGGCTGAACCCAGTTTTGCTCAGTTCTCCCAGGAAATTGGTCTTGCATCACTTGGGGCATCAGATGAGGCTGTCCAAAAACTAGCAACAGTGAGTGTTTGATTCTATCAAAAGCTTTGATAGAATTTGATGGGGATTCCATCAAAAGCTTTGTGCTTTACTAGGCTGATCCCATGCCATCAAATAAATTTAGAACTTCTCGTCATGTTAGCCACACCAGCTGCTAGATCTTTGTGTTGCACTGGTCCCTGGATTTTAAAGCATGAAAAAATTTTCCATACTTGGAAAAAAAAACCACTTTAAAGTTGGAATGGTTGGTATTTTTCTTCACTCTGCTGTCAAGTAATGGTTCAGTTTCTAGTAATAGCTTACTTCTTGCAGACTGAAATTTTATGGTCTATTTCTTTCAGACAAAGTCTTATTCTTCTGGGAACATGATTCAATGATTTGAAAGTGTTATATTTCTTTAATGCATAGAGTGAATTGAAATTATATGGTATTGAATATGGTGAGTGATAGCATTAGATACCTTTCAGTTGAAAAATTAAAATTCTATAAACTAAACTAATTTTCTGGATATCAGCCTCTGGATGCCTTAGCAAGAGTATTTTTAAGATTAAAAGTACATTTTGATGAAAAATAATTGGTGTCAGTTATGCAAGAACTAGCTTGCTGATTTTTAAAATTTCTTTTCCAGTGTCATGTAGCTAGTGGTAGAACTTGTACTACCTTCAGTGGGAGCAGAAATAAGCCATCTATGAAAACTGTTCCTTCCTGTATAGCTGCAGAAATCCTGAAATTCAGCAAACAGAATGTCTTTAATTTTACAGCACACTAAGCAAATGACAAACTAATTGCAGTGGGCTGTTCTCAGGTACTCAGAGATCCTCTCTATCCAGTGCTTGTTTTAAGCTGAGGCTGTGATTTCATGTCAGTATTTCTCAAAACAGATTTACACCTCGATGTTTGCACTGGCATTAGCATCTTCCAGCCCAGCTGCGTGATCTATAACATCCACCTTTCTTATGAGAAACATGCAATCCTGTGGTTCTTCATCCTTCCATTCTGGCTTTCCTCCTCTCTAAATGTCTCAGGATAACTGAATGACAACTATCTGATATTTGCAACTCTTTGATGCTACCTATAATGCTACCTCCCATCTAGTTCACCTCAGCATCTTTGATGAAGGCTGAATTCTTTTACTTCCTTCTCTTTCAGTGCTACTTCTTCACGGTAGAGTTTGGCTTGTGCAAGCAAGAGGGGCAGCTACGAGTTTATGGGGCTGGCTTGCTCTCTTCCATTAGTGAGCTCAAGGTAAGAATGGCTACTGCTTGTTTGCCTCTTTTCTTTGTATCTCATTATTATTGCCACTGTTTCCCCCTGCTTTTTATGAAGTATAATTTCTTGATGTTATTGTCCAGGTAAGTATTTTCAGATCAAAGCTTTGTTTGTTTAACCAGATTCTGAAAATATTACTCTTGTTTATACACAAACCTTGTGTATAAACCTTGTTTATACACAACCCTTGTGTCTGTGGAGTCCCTTTTCTCACCCAGACTGACAGAATATGACTGTTCAGATTAATTCAGTTTGTTAGGCTTTAATCACTCTTCATCTGCAGATAAAAATTTTAACATGAGATGCACTAAAATCATCTCACATAATCATTTTTATTCACTTTATCACATGTCATCTTCCTCCTGGATTCTTTGGATGGTGATGTTCCTCTGACCCATGGTAACGCCTTATCAGCACTCACTCTCTGACAGCGCCAAAGTCAAACCTTTTGATCCAAAGGTCACCTGCAAGCAAGAATGTATCATTACAACTTTCCAGGAGGTTTACTTTGTTTCTGAAAGTTTTGAAGAAGCAAAGGAAAAGATGAGGTACAGATTCTGCCCCCCCTCCCCACCCCCATTCTTTTTATAAAAGCAGATTTGATTTTCTATCTCTATAAAAAATGTGGTGTAGCAGCACCAAATCCTTTTAGTCTTATCACAGTTTTCTAACTATTTTTCACAGTAAAAGAATTTTGGTTAGTATTTTCTTAGCCTTTCAAGTACTGGGTGGGGAATGTTTTTAAGTACTTTAAAAAAGTGGTTATTGATACTGGCTGCATACAGAGAAAGCATTTGTGGTTTATGTCTTATTTATAACACCCTCTTTTGGTTATAGCACACTCATTTTTTTTTTCTTTTGCTTTTTTTTTCTTTTTTTTTTTTTTTTTTTTTTTTTTTCTTTTTTTTTTTTTTTTTTTTTTTTTTTTTTTTTTTTTTTAACCTCAATAGAGAGTTTGCAAAAACCATCAAGCGCCCCTTTGGGGTGAAGTACAATCCCTACACTCAGAGTGTGCAGGTCCTGAAAGACACGAAGAGCATCGCCAGCGTGGTGAACGAGCTGCGCCACGAGCTGGACATTGTCAGCGATGCCCTCAGCAAGATGGGCAAGCAGCTGGAAGTCTAACACCCTGCCAGCACTGGGCTGCAAGCCAGTTCTTCCCTTTCCCCACTGATTTCTTTCCAGGCATATGATGTGTTGCATGCAGGACTCACTCCTTTACTCATGGAAGAATGATCGGCCCATAAGAATACAACAATTTAATCTCATTGCACTCTGTAAATTTCCTCACATAAATGCATTCCTCCATCCCCCTTAGGTAAAAAAGGTCCAGAGTTGCCTTTTAGAAGCTTGTAGGGGGATGGAGAAACTGTTAGACTGGAGAAAAAGTGGTCTGTGGATCAGGGCTGGGATCAGGTGCTGCAAGGAGGTGGCTTATGAGGCGAAAATAGAGTAATTCACCCTAGGGAGAATTCAATTTTTGACTCCAGCAGTCTACGCTACTGATTGTAGAGTGCTGAAGACTTGACAGCATAGAAGCTGTGGTAATTCAGTGTTTCAAAGCCTGTGCTACTTAGTTTGAGACTTGAATGATTACAATGCAGGCATCAGGACACATATAGCTGGAGGTTCAACATGATAAAAGGGAAGGGGTCAAATCTTGCTTTCAAAGGGATTACTCTTGCCACAAAGAGTTGCAAATGTGATGTTTGGCATGCTTCTTGTATAAGGCAGAAATACAGCTGTTGCCTGAAATCCCAATTATGTTTATTTTAAGCAATTTGCTATTGACTAAGAGCCAGGGTTTTTGTTGCTGTCCTTGCTATTGCACCTGAGGGAAGACCTTTCCTTACAGAGATACCATTTGCCTTTTTCCTGATTGAATTAATTTAGCAAAAAATACATCAAGCATTGACTTAGCATGAAGCCCAAAATCATTTCCAAACTGCAACTTTGTATTCAAAATAGTTTAATTAGCTCTAAAATAACATCAAAGTTTAAAATAACACCCAAAGCTCATAGACCAGCGTGTTTTATGGAAAAATAAACATCCTGTTGATTGCTCAGTCACTTTTTCGACCTGCACAAGCTGCACAAATATACGTTTATCTTCTTCTTCTTTACCTGACCTGAACACCTTCATTCCCTGTTTATCAAACTATAATTGAAAGGCCCAAGCATTTCATAGGAATTCAGTGGCTACAAAGGCAACAAACTACCTTGTAGTGTAAAGTGTACCTGATCCCAAAAAGCACTTTAGAAATGTAGGCAAGCAATGTCCTGCTGAATTGTCTGCATTGCACAGTAGCAAACTTGCCCATGTTGCGGGTTCCCCAGTTCCAAGCACCCTTCAGGGAGTGCAAAGCTTCTGTTTCACCTGTTCTGGCATGGACACGTGTGCAGGATGTGAGACATTTGTGTGGGGGATCTGTGATGTGCAGGGTGCATTTGATAGGGGGGATCTGTGATGTGCAGGGTGCATTTAACAGCACCCTAGGGTCTGTTTTTTTTGTATGTAGATCTTATCAGGAAATCCAGAAAGTGTGCTGGAAGAATGATCTGAAATCTTAAATACACTGGAGATGCTAGCCCAGGATTTTGAGAACTTGAAAGGACTTTCATGAAACCTCTGCTTGAAAATTAGTTTGAGTTTCATATGCTTTCTAGTAGGACACCTCTGCTCCACAAGCAATTGCCAGGCCAACCTTTCCAAGAATACTCACTGTTTAAATCAAGACTACGTTGTAGTGGCTATTAACCCACTATAACTTTGTTTTAAAGAGCATTTAAGATGTAGAATTATGGTCTACAATATTTATGGCTTACATTGCACTTAATTTAAAAATAGATTTTAGGAACTTTGTCTTTCTAAAGAAGAAATGTTCTTCTAAGTGAGTAGTAAGGGAGGATTTGTTTTGTCTGCTTCTGTGATAACAGTTAATATTCAGCTACAGTTTTAACAACATTGGATTTTTGATGTTGTTGAAATATACATAGGTCTGTGTTACTTCAAGACTTGTCTGAACTATGTATATGTTCTTAAACTTGTTAAAGTAGCACCTACTTTCAAGTACTTTGTAAAACCAGCAGTTGTATCTTTATTTGCATTTGTGTAGCAAAACAAAAAGTAAACTGCTAGAAGTAATACCGAGGCGACGCATTTCCACGGCACTAACAACGTGTGTGCTTGGCTTCGCCTACCCAAACCTTCTGTAAAACGATGATAATTTAAGTATTTTAAACCATTATGGAGGCTTAAATGTCAACGAAATAAAGGAGTTGCTGATAATTATCAGGAGCACCCAAGCCCTTTACTTCGGCACCGTAGCAATAAACGGATGGGAGGAAAGCTCAGGTGTTTACAATTTGCTGGGTGGGGGTGTGGGTGTTAAATGTCATTGGAATGGGTCCCAAAGTCTCTGCGTGCTGTGGGCAGCGGGTTTGCTGCAGAGCCCGGGCAGCTCAGCTCCTGACATGGACATGGGTCTGCACAAACCTCAACTTCCGAACTTTGGGAGAAAACAGGGCGTTCAAGGCGGGATGTGTGGCAGGCGGCTCGGAAAGGCTGCGCCTTCCCGGTGCCTGAGCCGGGGGGAAAGGAGGAAGGCAACATGCGGCCGGGAGTTCAGGTCAAAGGCGGGTGTTCCCCCTGAAAGCGAGAGAGAAAAATCCCACAGGTGCGTGCCACGGTGGACTCCTCCCTCTGTCGGCAGGAGGTCGCAGGACTCCTCTGTCCGTTTTTCGGACATAAACACGAGTCGCCCGCTCGGCGGTTCCCGGCGCGGCGGGCGATCCCGCCCCGTGCCCGCCCCTTCCTGCCCGGCCCGCGGGCGGCGGGAAGCGCCGGGCCCGTCCCATGGAGCCGCGGCTGTTCGCCTGGGTGAGTGAGCCCCCGGCGCGGCCCGGGCTCCCGGCGCTCCCGGGGCCGGGATGTCCCGCTGCCCGGGCCGCCGCTGGCCCCGCCGGGAGGGTGCCCGGGGCCGCGGTGTCCCCTGGCGGGCACACGGCAGCGAGAGCCGAGCCGGGGCATCCCTCACGCTGCCGGGCTGGGGCCGCTTCGCCCTCCCGGGCAGGGCGGCTGGGATGGTGCTGATGTTGGGATACCCGCGTGTGGCTCCCAGCCCCTCGGGTCCTTCTGCAGCTCGTCGCGGGTCGCGTGGCTTTGGAGGCTTGAAAAGTCACGGCGAGTTACGGGAGGTTGTGGCACATCCTTTAGGAATTGCGCCTGTTAAGTGGTACCACGCTCTAAAGCGCGCATCAGCGGCTGTGAGACAACAACTCGGTGTGCCTGTGCAGCTCCGCTCCCGACATCTCAGCCCCCCGATGGCTCCGGGCTGGGGCCAGCAGCCCGCTGGTTCTGTGTGAAATGTCCGCGTTTCTGTAGGCGCAAACCGGTTATTGCTGAATGCGGGCTTTTAACATTCACCCAGTGCTGCATCTTTCGGGGGAGGTGGGGGATAGATTGAGTGCAGATGGGCGCACAGGTGAGGTAGGGTTGGTATTTCCTGGAGATTGGCAGCTGTGAGCCTTGTGGAGTTGGAGTGTTGCTGTTGTGTGTGCGATGGGGAAGGTTATGGTACCCCCTTTTTTGTGAATGAAGGTTGAACTGCTGGACACAGAGCTGATATTGACTAAGAAATTCCCTGACTTGTTACTATGTTGACAATTGCTGTTTTCCATGGTGGGTTTAGCACCTATGTATTTTGTACCTATATATTTATACTACCTGTCATTAGTATATTTTCATTTGGATCTCTTTCATATAAAATATTTAGTTAAGGAGATGTACATGTTTCTGATTTACTTTTTTAGGTTCCAAAAAAAAGGTCTTTCTGCTCTTGTTTTGGAGGTAGCCTGCCAGAAAGCAGTGGCATGAATAAGATCTTAGTGATGAGTGGGAATCATTGGCATTAAAACAAATATGTGACAATCACCCTGATAGAAAGGTTTGCCTCCTTATTAACTGTGAGTCTGCAGCTAAAGCTCTAACAGGTTGTATTCCAGTATACTTTTTGAAATGCTGGGGCTGCACCGACACCCTTACCAATAGCAAAGTTAGGACACTCCTGGGAATCCTATGTAATATCAGGGGATTTTTAGGAGCAAGTTAACCCTTGGTATATCCTAAATATGGTGGTTCGTCCTGGGAGCATATGTGTGCTTCTTTTGTTAACTTTAGAAAAAATGTGTTCTTTTTTGTGTGTGCATTTGAAGGGTGCAAACAGCTATGGACAACTTGGTCTTGGTCATAAAGAGGATGTGCTGGTTCCTCAGGCCCTGCAAGATGTTTCCTGCAAATGTCAAGACATAGCAAGCATTGCTGGAGGAGGGGGACATTCTGCAGTTATAACTGGTAAAAACACTGCTCTTGCACGGGGTGTTGGGCTTTTAATCACTTTTTTTGGTGTGTTTCCCTCTTGGTTCAGTGCTGCCACCTCTCTGTGGCTGCTGTTTCTGAGCAAGTACAATCCTTAGTTGCAAAACAGCTTCCTCTCTTCCCAGTTAACTCAATATTTGGGGAAATTGGGGAAATTCCTGTTGCTCATACATTGTGTGGTTACTTTGTGGCTGTGTGAGGACTGTTTCTTCAGCTGTTTCTTTCATACAAAGATCCCAGATTTTCTGTATTGAGGATGGGGGGTGGGAAGGAGTAGTCAGAGGTTATTTCATCTTAAGAAGTGTTAAGGTAAGGACCAGGACATAACATCTGGCCCTTGAAAGGTTGTACTGTATGCCATAGCTAATTATGGTAAAGAAGGAGTACAGACAGATGTGAACATGATAAAGAAAGCATCTTGGTGTGAGAGGTGCCTGTCTCACCATATGGATTGTGTCCCTTGACAGATCCAGCTCTCCACAGCTGTAGTTATTCAGAGATATTTCTGATGCATCAGAGACAACTGTTACTCTTATTTTTTACTTGATTGCAGTGCCTGAAGTGATACATAATCACTGTCCTTGCTTGTCACAGGATCTCACAGATACAGCTTTCTCTTTTTAGTCTGTGAAGTGGAACACAATTTGTTTGTTTTTCTTCCAGGTGCAGGACAACTCTTTGTATGTGGCCACAACAAAGATGGGCAGTTGGGATTGAATCACACAGAAGATGTGCTGAGTTTTACTTTGTGCACTGCCCTGTCTGGCTTTTGTGTAAAACAAGTTGCATGTGGCTGGGATTTTACAATCATATTAGTAGGTAAATCTTTCTCTACCTAAGAGCTGAAGAAATATGTTGATGTAGAGAACATGCTGAAAATTCCACAATGCTATTGCTTGTGTGATGTGAGGGACCTGGATGAGTTTGAGAAGAGGCTCATGGTAACCTCAGGAAATTCAACCAAGCCAAATGCTGAGGCTGCAGCTGGGCCAGGACAGCCCCTGGTACCAGCACAGGCTGGGTATGAACAGATCCAGAGCAGCCCTGCCCAGAAAGGCTTGGGGTGCTGTGGGTGAGAGGCTGGACACGACCCAGCCGTGGCACTCCCAGCCCAGAGAGCGAAACGTGTCCTGGGCTGCACCCAGAGCCCCGTGGGCAGCAGGGCAGGGAGGGGGTCCTGCCCCTCTGCCCTGCTCAGAGCCCACCTGCAGCTGCATCAGCTCTGGGGGCCCAGCACAGGAAGGACAGGGACCTGCTGGGGTGAGTCCAGGGGAGACCACAAAGATGATCAGAGGGATGGAGCATCTCTCCTGTGAGGGAAAGATTGAGAGAGTTGGGGCTGTTCAGCTTGGAGAAATTCCTAACCCTGGACAAATTCTCTTAATTTTATATGGAATTTTGTTTAGCAGTGAAATTGGGATTTAGGCATTCTCTGAAACCTGACATATTTGAAAGATGGCTTTCACTTTATAGCAAATACTACTGATAATCACATTCAAAAATTTTCTAAGAGTAATGGATTCAGAACTTGTTTGCAGCTCATTATCAAGTACCCAATTGTGACATCCATAATCAATCTTAGTGGTACCTTACTTGACTAGTCCCAGCCACATGATAAATCTCTCTGACATCAGTGGAGCAGATTGCATAGTAAGGTACTACCTACTTTGATTAGACTGGCATAACTGAGGCCATGGTGTTCTGTATTTTGCACATCAGACACAGATTTAGCAAAGGAACTACCACCCCTGTAATTGTACTGTATGGTGGGTGCATTGTGGTCACAAAGCAGCACAGCCCCATCATAAACTAAAGGCTGCACCTGCCCTGGGACAGCTGTGACAGGAGTGATGCTTCAGAACTGTAAAGGAGCCTCAGGAAAGCTGCAGAGGAACTTTCTACAGGGGTTTGTAGTGATTGGACAAAGGGTGAAGGCTTTAAACTGGAAAAGGACAGGTTTAGATTAGTTATCAGGAGGAATCCCTTTACTGGGAGGGTGGTGAGGCACTTGCAGAGGTTGTCTCAGAATCTGTGGATGCCCCACTCCTGGAGGTGTTCAAAGCCAGGTTGGATGGGGCTGTCAGCAGCCTGGGACAGTGGGAGGTGTTCCTGCTCATGGCAGAGGGAGCTGGATGAACTTTAGGTCCCTCCCAGCCCAAGCTGTTCTGTGATTCCACGTGCTGGCACTCACAGGTTTTAAGCTACTTTCCTTGCAAGCTGCATCGCTCTCTGTTCCTTGTGTCCCAGTGAACTTAAGACTTTTTTCTGGACGTGGTGTGTCAGACCAGAAAGTCTTTGGCCTCAGGGGCTTTGTAAGGGGACATGTTAGGTAATTTCTTGAGCTGCTTGGCTGTGTTATTGTGCTTGTTATAATGTTACAGTGCTATTGCTCTTGGCTTTACTGTTCCTCCTCTAACACTTCATTTTTTGCAGGATCTGGCCTAGTGCTGTCCTGTGGGTCAAACTCTTTTGGACAACTGGGACTTCCTCAAATTTCAGGCCCGTGCTTGATTCCACAAAAGATTGAGGTAAATATTTAGAAGGTTTTGTGCTTTATATTGTTTCCTGCAGCTTACAGAGGTCATCTGACCTCAATGGGCTTTAAGCCAGACTCTTCAACTAATTTTTTATAGTGCCTATCTGCTACAGATAAGCTTACAAAGTAAAGGCCCAAGGTGAATTGAAAGGTTGAGGCTGCTTTTCTTGCTGTATGAAGTTTCCTCCTTCTAACAGAAAGTTGATTCTTTCACTTCTCAGACAAGAAATTGTTTAGCATCATGGCTCATGCCAGATATTCCTATGTTGCTTTTTCAGTGTAGGAGAAAGAGGGCAGCTGATCCCTTAGGTGACCTCTAGTGACTAGGAGTTTGTTCACTTGATGTTTGCAAAACCCTGTAAGAGCAAGACAGGATGGGATGGGAGGTAACAGAAGAGGGAACCTTCCAAATGATTCCTGAAATCTGTTTCTGTGGTGGGAAGCTTTCAGGTTTTTCTCCAGGGGAAAACAAAATTCCATCAGTAACTTGGCAAGACTGAACAGCTTAATGCCCACATTACTGCCTATCACCAGTAATTACTGTGGAGGTTTTGGTGTAATTCTTGAGGTACACAGAGTTAAAATTAAGACATAAACATATTTGAATCACCAACATTTCTGCTTTCATGTGAATATTTTGGCTGTGGTTTTTTTTATTTATTGCCACAATGCTGTGAAACCAGTTGCTTTGCTGATTTATTTTTTATTTTTTGAAGATGTTCCCACTAACTCTTATTAGTCAAAATTTACTTTGTGATACAAAATGTTGATATGCATTGGGACACGCAAGCTGGAATTGTGAGCACTGTTTTCTTAGTGTTCCATTTCTGTTTGGCCTATTTTGTTTTTAGAGGCACTAAATGCAAAAAGCAACTAAATTATAATTTTCTTTTATTTGCATAGTCTCTCAAAGAGAAGGTGGTGAGTGTTGCTGCAGGACTGAGACATGCCCTTGCTGCTACAGGTAAGTATGTCGTAATTTTGATCTTTTAAAATAATCTGAAAATTTATCTGAAAAGATACATAATTTTTTCAGTAACAAATGAAATGGGATTTTAATCACTTGGAGGAGGAGAGGGAGTAAAAGAGGATAAATTTTATCTAAGCTACTGTTTATTTTAACTATCACAGGGAAAAAGACACTTTAAAGTCATGGACTGTAAGATTTTGGGACAAATTAACATGAATGATAAACATTCTAGAACCATCTTCCTGGAAAATCATGGGGAACAACTTTTACCAAGAATTCAGAGAGTCTACTGGTATCCAAATTAACTTATCACTCTGATGATAAGTTAATAATAAGTTAATTTTTTGATGGGTGGACAACATACTGATTTCTTTTTTCTTATTCTGAAACAAAACATAATAGGAGTTTTTTTTCAGGGAGAAGGGTTTCTGCTCAATCCAAGTATTTTAGGATTTGAACTCATTATAGTATGCAAAGTAACTTCAGTTTGTATAGGAGCTTCAAAATGGAACTGTACATAAATTGTGGCTTTTTAAATGATGTAGTTGAAATTGATACCTGGAAAATCACAAGAATGAAACTAAATATTTCGCCTGCTGTTATTAGAGACTCCAAGTTTGTTCATGGTGTAATGTAACAGTAGAAATCAAACCCTTCCTTTGGCATGGTTGTGTTAAAACTGAGGAAAAACAAACTACAGCTGCTCTTGTATTTGGTTTAGTTCTGGGTGAACTTCAGTATGGATTTCAGGTAGTGGAGCTGAAGGTGCACAGGAGATGCTGGGAAGACCAGTGGGATCTCTGGTGTTTGTATGGACAGTGGGAATTGAGATTCCCAGTGCTGCACTGTACAAATGGGCATCAAGAGAGGGAAAGGGAAGAGAAAGTACAAGAACTTTGTATCCATTCCTGAGGTACTGCTCCCCACCTTAGTTTTCTTACCTGTAAACTGAGACTACAGCTCTTTGTTGCTTGTTGGCTTCAACAGGGTTATCTGAATGTTTTTTGGCATAAAGGTCTTTTAAAGTGTAATTTGAATTGGTGAAAATTACTTGAATGAATGACTGTTCATTAACGTGTGAAGTGATTTTTGCTGGTGGTTGATGGGTTTTAATCTCTTCTATTTGTGTTTACTCTGAAAAGACAGAGGTTTGGTGCTGCAGTGGGGAACTGGGATGGCATCTCAGGCAAAGCGTGCCAGCCAAGGAAAAGCCCTCCCTCTGTTCTTGACAGCAAAGGAGCCCTGGGAAGTGGCAGGTAATCCAGGAATCTGCTTCCTTTGTGTGGGTGGATAGAGCAGAAATATAATTTGGAGTGGTATGTTGTGGCAGGCACATTCTTCTCTCTCTCAGGATTTTTTCATCGAGGAGCACAGAGGAAAGAAAGAGAAAACAATTTCTATTTCTGCTCCTTGTTTTTCCCATATGGAATGTGTTTGGAGAATTGTTTACCTGGGGTGATTGCTTGATTGGATTCTGGTGAGGATTGTTTGAGCCTGATGGCCAGTCCAATCCACCTGTGGCTGGACTCTTGCGAGAGGATCATGAATGAGTTAGAGTTTGTAGTCAGAGAAAGTAGGTTTGTAGTTCTAGTATCTCCTTTAAATAGTATATTAATATATTATAGTATAGTTATAATAAAGAAATCATTCTACCTTCTGAACTGGAGTTGGACATCATCATTTCTTCCCACCGGGTTCACCTGCATTTACAATAGTATGTATCTTCCTTTTTACAAAGCCATGTGGAAACATAGGGTGGAGTACCTGAGGGATAGAATGGTCACAGAAAATCATGATCTGTGGGGAAAATGAGAGTCCTGGCATGTGTGTGGCCCAAAGGCAGAGCCTTTTGTTATAACAGTCATCACCATCCCGTTACACTTGTATGCATGTTTGTGTGTGAATTGATGCCTGCTGTAGAAATTTTATGTGACTACATTTTTTCCAGGCCTGGAAGATGTAAAGGTGAAGGCAGTTGCTGCAGGCTCCTATCATTCGGTGTCCCTCACAGGTAAGCCTCAAGTATAGAGGTAAAAGTCCTCATCTCATCCTTCAAAGGTTTCTCTGCTTTTGAAATATTGTTAGTTTTGGCAAAACTGGTGAAATTTGATCTGGCCTAGTTAGTGCTGGCAATTGTTCTGTAATAGTTTTGCAGTCTGAGAACTTTCCTTTTGTTTTAAGAGCTGGATTAATGTTTTGAGCTCTCTGAGTTTTGTGTGTTTTTCTTGGGGTTGGGTGGGACCTTAGCCCTTATGTCATTCAGGGTCTGGGCTCTTAATGGCTAAAAATTCAAAGGATTTGTCAGTCTCTGGAGCTGCAGCAGGATGCCCTCTTGGGTAGCTGGTTACTGCTGGGACCAGTGCAACCCCTTGCCCAGGGAGAAGAGGCGTGCTGGGTGGCTGTCCCAGGAAAGGCAGCAGAAGCAGGGTAGCCACAGCAGTGTGAGCTGATGCTCCTGAATGGGGCAGTGCAGGGGTGTGAGGAGGCCTGGAGCTGTCTGAGGTGTCTTAGGCAGTGTGCAGATCTGTGGTGCAAGAGCACAAAGCTTATTTGAAGAGCAGGAAGCTGCTTTAATTGGTTAGGCACTTCCATAATGTCTGCCATTTGTTCTTTGATCCTTAGGCAGTGCTCCCATGCTGGAGTACTGAGTATCCAGTAATGAAAGTCTAATAAAGATTTCTTTTATTTTGACAGATTGGGAGAAGGGGAAACAGAATAGCTTTCATGCTGTAATCTTACAGTTTTGAAGTGTGTAAAATATATTGAACCTTATGAAGACAAGTCTTTGCCAAACTTCACAGGAACAAGTTCTTAGCAAATCTGCAGCCATCTGGTACCTCTGTCATCATTAAAGGAGCACTGGAGTATTTGCTTATGCAGATCTATAGAGATTTAGTTGTATGGGGAGATGTTCCAAGATGTAAATTGTATTGATTTGAGATGCAAAATGTATGCAAGATTAGTGAAGACAAACTGTAAGAACAAATAAAATCTACTTTAGATAATTGGCAGTCTCTATTTAGACAGTGAGCAGATTATTCTTTCATGCTTTTGCTTTTTATTTAAGAGAGCGGTCTATTTGGCAGCAGTGGGACCAAGATTGAAAAAATAAATGGCAAATACTTTTATAATGTGATGCTGTTGCTGCCCTTCATACTGCAAGATAGTTATTACTTTAAATATTTTTTACTTTAATGATGCTTGATATACTAAAGACACTACTGCAGGGTGGTGTGTTTAAATGGGCCCTTTTTTCTGTGAATGCCTTCCACTGTGGTGCAGTTTTATTTGCCTTTGTTCCATGATTTCCTGCTGCTGGGATGTCAAATACCTGCAGCCAGGCAGGTTTGGGACACAGTTGTTGATGTGGGTTGTTACAGATCTGGATTGGGAGTTCCTTGGAAAAAAGTATGGTAGAGTCTACTGGTTTCCAAACTGGCCTGAGCCCTCCAGGGGTGAGAATATGGTACTAAGTCTAGTGTCTAAATTTTTGCTCAAACCTACTCAAGAGATAAGGGTGGAGCATGTGACTTTTCCCGGGATAAAGAAAATACACTGTTTGTAAAAGGAGGGGACAGAGGCAATGCATGCTAATGTGGAATATGAATGGCCACAGTATTTTTCTTAGTGTTTCTGTCACCTCTTCTTTTTTTTTTTCTTTTTTTTTTCCTCTCCAGAAGGAGTGTGTTATTCTGGAAAGGAATTTATCAGTTTTAGTGGAGAATTTGAATATTTGAACAAAACAATTGCTTGACTTGTTTTTCCTTTTTATTTCAGTTGTGTTGTTTTAAAGAGGATCATGGCAAGTTCTGCAGAAAACTCTCAGTACTGGCTTTTCCTCCCACTCCTTACCAATTTTTCACTAGCAGTAGTGGAATTCTCCTGGTTTACTCTTTCTATTGCTGTTACCAAATTGAGATTATTAAATATACTGTAGCCCAAATTTTACTTTTTTTTTTCTTTTCCCTCTGAAAAATTTCTGTCATGGTGCTTGCAATGAGTTCAGTGCTAACCTGAGACATCCTGATTCCTTGAGTGTTGTGGAGGTGTGCTCCAGACAATTCCATGTTGGAACATACATGGCTTCCAGTCTTTCTGGGCCCACAATAATGTGCAAGATTTATTTTTTATACTTCCAGCTTGTGCAGGCTGGCAAAGACTTCAGGGAGGCCTGACAGCTCATGTTCTCTTTAAGTGTTTTTTGTGGATTTTTTTTTTTTTTTTTTTTTTTTACTGTGGAGGCCCAGGAGCTGGGGGGAATAGTTTTGTCCTGAAAAGATGGAACTAATGATATGTCATGTCTGCAGAAGGACTTGTGAGCAGTTACAGTGTCAGTGTCCATTGGTTCTTAGGCTGTGAGCAACTCCAGCTTGCATTGATGTAAAGGACTGTGGGTATTTCTGTGAAAAGTTTTATTCCTGCTTGCAATCCTGGAGTATACATTTGAACAAATACTTCTTTTAGAAAATAGGTGTAGAAGGCAAGTGACCACTTGCAGCAGTCACTTGGGTGTTGTCTGGTGTGATTTTGAGGCACAATAATATTTTAATTTTGTGTTATGATGGGTGGTGCCTGCTTCAGTTGTGTGTTCATAGTGTCATGTCCAATTCCTTTAGGAAGTGACTGTGCAAGGTGAGTTAGGGGACACTGGATTGTCCTTGCTTTGGGGGGATTTACTGAATTTGCTGAAGCTGAAGGAGGCAGAATTGGTATGATCAGAGCTGTGAGTCTGGCTCTTGTAGAGAGGCTGGGAGACTGTAAAGCAGAGCAAGAGCAGCCAACCAGGCTTTGAATTATTTGCTGCAGTCCAGAAAGTTATTTACTGCATGTAATCAAAGCTTTGGAGTGGAAATAATAGCTGCAAGGACAGGGTGGACAGAGAGGGACTGCTCAGTGAATGTCTCCAAGAGGCTTTGATTTTCTTTTACTCAGAAAAGTTGACTACTGTGGTTAGTTTTTAAATAAAAATTAGTCTTTGTTATAAATAATCTAGGCAGTTTGATCTGAAAGCTCTCACTGCTTCAGGGAGTCTGTGGAGCCCTCAGAAAATAAGCTGTGTTGTTAAGGCCCTTGCAAATATTTCTGATAACCCAGTTACAATGGTAAAGAATGGCAGGAAAAAGAATACAGTGAGAACATAAATTGAGTGAAATGTTCTTTCCTCAGCATCACTGAACTGAGACAGAGCCTGAATCTGGTGGTATTAGATCTGTATCCCTTTAAACAGATTTTACTTCTCTCTCTGTTGTAGATGAAGGACATCTGTATGTCTGGGGCAGCAACAAACATGGGCAGCTGGTGAGCAGGAGCATCTTTCTTGCTGAGCCCAAGAAGATTGACACTCTGTGTTTCTCACATGAAAAGATTGCAGCAGTTTGGAGTGGCTGGACCCACCTGGTGGCACAGACAGGTAGGATATTTAAAAAGCAGGAACATATGGCATCCAGACAGCAGATTTTAAGTTGTTTCTTTCAGGCAGGCAGTGTTCTTTCTCACTGATAGTGGCTGGACACACAGCATAGCAGCTTCACCAAGTTCAGTTGTCTTTTGAAAAATGATGAGGACAGCAATCCTTTGGCTGCTCTTTTAGTAGGGCATTAAGGGCAAAGAAAATAGTATGTTCATAAGAAAATCAGTAAACTAAAATAAGCTGGCAGAAAATATTTGGAAAAGACAGGTAAAAAGAGGCCTCGTTACACTTGAAGAGCATTTCCTGAAGGTGAAAAAGAAGGCAGATTTCATGTTGAAGCTGCACTTTCCTGGGAATCTTTGAGATGAGGGCAGTGTGAAAGCTGCCACATGTGGAAGCCTGTAGGGTTAGATTCTTACCTAGGAGGAGAGGAGGAGGGAGGAAGGTTATGTAACAATGATATTCATGTGTAAAGGGATGGTTGAGCTGATGAAGCTCATCCAAGTGTGAAGCACAAAGGCAGGAGGGAAAGGTAGATGAGATGGAAAGGCAAGACAGGCATCTAAAGCTATTTTTTGGTGTTTGTGTTCTTTGCTTCTCTTGTTGCACTGTGTGTAGTGATAGTTAAGGCTAACAAGAGGGTGAAAGTCTTCCACAGAGGAAAAGGAATAGCCAGAGCTGTTATGTGTGACTGGAAAAACAAATTGGTTGCTTTCTGTTTCATAGCATTCATTGTTTGATATCAAAGTATGTGGGAGAAATGTGTAAAAAAATCTAAATAAGCTTTTATGTAATCTAAATCTCAATCAGTTCTTTTAGCTATTTGTAAGAAATGTCTGAACTCTGATTTTTAGAGGATGCTGTACTGAAAATTTGAAAGCTGTTTGGACACTTTTCAGGTGGAGTGAAAGAGTTTATCTCAAAATCTGTAGTTCTTGAATTAAGTGCTTAAAGTCATCCTCACTGGAACAGAAATGGTAGAAAGAAACTATTAGTCAGGATAACCTGATTTTTAGAGTGAGTCTTGACAAATTGGTTTGCTTTCCCTCGCTATTTGTTAATAGAGCATGCCCACTAAATAAAATTTCCCCAGAGTTTTAGTAACTTCAATGTTTCAGTTATGTGATACTTATCTGTGGGTATTATAGACATGGAGTATTTCAGCAGGTGTTTTTATACAACAAAAAGTGTGTCAAGGGACTAACAGGGCTGTTTTGCTGGTGAATGTTTAAAAAGAATTTATATAAAAATCGGCTGACTTTCTACATCTGCATTAGAAAACTGGCCAAGTGATGCAGTGGCACAAGTTATTGCTGAAACCGTATTTCATCTATTTAGATTTTTAAATCTCTTTGAAGAGCAATGGACTTGAACCTAAATCGTCTGGAATAAGATTTTGAATGGCCTTTGGCAGCCTCCAGACACCAATCAGGATCCCATGGGAATTTCAAGGGTTGTTCAGCTACCAGACATAGTGTGAGCTGGAGCACTTAACTCTTTCTGAAAAATCATTTGCTGCATCAAACTTGCAGCTGAATAACTGAGAAATGCAGCCTGTCCCCTGCATGCAGTTCTTCCCACCAGTATTTTTGCCTCCTTCTGCCAAAGGAGGAAATGTTGTTTCAGTTTCCTGGTGCTGAAGTCATAAACCAAACATCCCCAAATGTTATGGCTCAGTAAAGTTTTTTTTTGATCATGCAGCCCCTAATATATTTATACTTATTTATAAATTAGACATATAATGTGGTAATATACGAACTATAATATATGTACAATAGAAATTTTACAAAGGATGAGATAAACACTACTTAAAGTATTACTTTATTGACTTAAATAATTAAAACAGTTAATAATTTATTAATAAATTAAAATATTTTTATGTAATTTTCATCCTGCCCTCCAGTGGATTGTCTTGTAAATACCTAGGGCTGCATGCACTTCACTTTAGAGATACTGATACAAACATTTCCTGCTTGCTTTACTCTGGGGAGTTCCCCAGTTAGTGGAAAGGAGGCAAAATAGTGATTTTTGGACACAGGAAAATGGAAGGAAGGGACATTGTAGTATGATGCTTCTCTGCTCATTGTGGAAGATAAAAACATACTTTGGAAAGACATTGCAGTGTACAGAGATATTGCTGAATGAAAGAAGTTTTTTCTAATTATTAATCCCACCACAATACAAAATTAGTAGTTTGAAGTTTGTTACTGTATCTGAATTCTCTTGTAGTGTTTGCTACAGAAGGTAGTTGAATTTTAAGAGGCTGTTACAAATACTTGGAGTTTTGTTTGAATTTTTTTTCCAGAACATTAATCCTGGTTAGACTAGTAATAATGAAAAACTTGTTATTGCAGCTGTCTTGACAGTAACTAAAACTCTTCCCGTTGGAAAAACACAGGAAGGAACTGGGTGGATAAACACTGGACACAATGCATAGATTCACAAATTCTACCATTTTGAAATGACATTTTGATCTTTATGTGCCAGGTGAACAGTCCTTGGCTGCAGAACTAATGAAGAGTGAAAAGTAAATGAGTGATGTTGTTAAAAGCAACCATCTGGAGGAATAGTTGCCAGTTCCATGGTTGCAGTGGTTTGATGATTTTAAAGTGAGTACAAGCAAGTGATCAAGTTTGTTATCAGAAAAAAAAGAATGCAGCATAAATATTTTTGTCTTCGGTCTTTCCCTCTTATGTAAGCTGGCCTGTTTTAAGACTTGCTTCGTTTTTCCTTCATGCTGCTGGCAAAATTTTGTACTGTAACAAAGCAAGATGCACAACTCATTCTAATTTCTTTCCCATTCTCTCTTTACAAGGGATTTTAATTGCACGTGAAATAACTTTAATACCTGCTTCTCTTTCATATAATATGTTCTACCTCATTCAGCAGAGGTGTCCTGTTATTTCTTTTTAGAGTTTGATCAACTCTTTTCATTCACTGTTGTTTGTATCATAAAGCAGTTTGGATTTAACACATTAATTCCTTCACTTAAAGGTGTTAAGGAGTATTTTCACAAGATGCTGTGTTTTTAATCCTTACCTTTAACTGATCCTCATCAGCTTCAGTTCCTTGCTCTTTTTATTGTAGAGGTACCTTTTGGGGCTATTTCCACTGTACACGCTCTTATTGTAAAATAACTTGCAGAATGCTTCAAGACAGATGAGTGCTTTCTTGATTACTGTTTCCTACAGAGAAAGGAAGCACAGTTAGGCTTCATGGCATCACCAGTACTCTTTCTAAGTTGTATTATTCTGATAGTAGAGGTGGTCCTATTTGATGGTGCTTGGTCCAAAAAGATGAAGGTTGAGAAACCCTGGTTGCTCTTTGATCAAGTCTCTGATGGTGAGATATGAACTTGCTGGTGTCTTTGGTTTGTTTTCTGTGTGAATGCTTGGCTCAAGTGACTCTCGGGAATACTTTTCATTGATGGCAGGGCAGTGCTGTTGCTGCTCCATGTGAAAGAAAGAACCAGGTGCATTCCTGTGGCCTTGGACTCCAAGTAAAGTTCTGTTCTCTTCAGACAACCACTCTGTACAAGGTTGGCTTCCTATCCAGCACTCTGCTTAGTGGCACAAGGAGCACCACTGCAGTATAGGTGATATTGTTTTTGAATAATGAGCAGCTGTCTTGCACTGCTCTCCTTAACAATGTCAGCTTTAATTTGTTGTCCCTCAGGAGTCAATGCAAACACTTTGAGGGTAACTGCTGAAAGAGAGGTTATTGCTTAGGTCATTTAAAAGAGAGCTAAGCTGTGGCCTGTAATGTGTAAGATGTAAATTAGTCTACTTTGGGGAATGATAGAACCAGTCTGACTTGAAGGCAAACCTAAATATAGCAAAAGAGCTATTTTCAAGACTTTGAGGTGAATCATCAACTTCCATTCAAAACAAGATATTTTCTTTTTAATTGGGATGCCTAATAAATAACCTTCCTTAATCTGGCCTGGTTTATTATCTGTTTATTCTCCTGAATACATTCCCTAATCTATTTGTCACATAGTGTCACATGAAGTTATGCTTTGTTTGAGTTCAGATAAAGAATTCCAAGCTCTTTCACTCAGAAAGTTACTTCAAAAATGCAGTTAAAATAGTGTTTCTGCTGCCTGTGCAAAACTGCCTACAGCTAAAAAATCTTGGAAGAACAAAATGCTGTGACATAGTCTGAATAATATTCTGAATCCTCATTCCAAATGTGCATCTGAATTTGTGCATCTTTGAATGTCCCTTGATGTCATGTCATTTAGGCCACATAAAACCACTCTGAAGGGGTCTGACATGTTAGTGACCTACACAGCAAAATAGAAACCATCTCCTGTTTTTTTTCTAAAGCAAATGACAGCGTGTCCCTCCAAGCACTGAGAGCACAGTGAGAGAACATTTCTAATGATCTTGTTTGAGTCATTAACCTTTAGCATTTCAGTCTTGCGGAGAGGCTGTCGTTTCACCTCTAGGTGCCTTTTCTGATGGCAGTCATAAGGTAAAGCTCCTGGGCTTTGCTGGCAAGTTGTGCAGCTGCAGGGAGGTGAAGGGGAAGGACGTGTCTGCCACCCGAGCAGCACAGCCTCAGCCCACTAGAGGTCCTTTCCAGTTTGCTCTTGAATCCAGGCTCTGCAGCCTTCCTCTGGAAAGCAAGCTTTCTCTACCTTGAATTTTTCAGCAGCTCCCTAAGATGGCAAATACTAATTTGTGTGTGTGCATCTGTATCATATATATTTTTTTGTTTTAATGCTTGTCTCTTTTTAGACACGGCAGCCAAGAGTTTGAAACTGGAGCCCTACACAAGGGAGCTGTATTTCATTGGAAGGATGCTGGGTTTTGGGAATACAGGTGAAATACTAAAAAATAGCTTAATAAAAACCTTCAAATCGATAGGTACCCCTGAATCTCTTCCTCTTTGAAGCGGAACTTTAGTTCAAGAAATGAGCGTTCAAAAAAGAAGAGTCTTTGTCCACCTGTCTCAGGGGTCAATTTTGAAACTTCAGGACATATTTTGAAGTTCCT